ATTTTGATGTGTTATTCTGGATTAGAACTGGGAGGTGTGCTGGCTAGTTTGACTCTGTTATCATTGCTGTTTTATAAATATGATTTTCCAATTATTAACCATCATTAGTGTTAATGGCATTTGTGCTCATAATCTGTCTCACTAAGGATTTCAAAGTGCTATAGTTTTCTATGCTAAATGAGTTCCAGGGCTCCAGCAGTGATGCCCCCCTGATTTGCTACACCCAAAGTCTCCATACACAATTAATTTTAATTCATATATGAATAGGTCATAGAGCACTTTGGGTAGAGAATGGAACTGGGGACTTTGCAAACAACTCCAAAATATTTCAGCTCATAAGGAGTGAAATCCAAGAGCTAATTGGCTCTTTTTTTCTCACTGGAGACAGCATTGCTTGTCATTTAAACACTTACTTACATACATGCTGGCTGGGCTCGGGAGTTGGCTAACACATGCTCGAGGCATACAGAGTCAAATGAGCAGAGATGCTTCAATTTCTGTCTCCTCTCTCGGTCCTGTTCCTTAGTTCTTCCCCAGCATTCCAGTCACATCCCTGTCCATCTGCTGAAATACGCTCCAGGATGCTTTGAGCATGTGTGACTTGTGTCCGTTCCTGATCATCTGTCCTGGTGCCCTGCCCCTGGAGCTGTGATCTCTCATTCTGAAGTACAACTGACACCTCCCCTTTCTTCTCGAGGCAGTGCCTACTGTGCCTGCAAGGACACGCAGCAGCACCATCTGTAGAGTCCTTCTCATTCACCCCAGCAACACTTGGATTTCTTCCTCTCTGCCCTTTCCCTTCATGTGCCTTTCTAATGTTAGATTCAGTTTCTTCATGCGATGGATACATAGGAGTAAGAAGCGGCAGTAAACACCATAACGCTTTACATATGCAGTCTAGGTTTGTCTAACCCAACAGTACTCATTTTTGTGGAATGGATGAAGGAAGGAAGAAGCAAATGAATGAACGAGTGAATCCTTGTCTCTCTTTGTGGATCAGGGCCCAGCGTTTCTCCGTACTCTCTGATGACAGTCTGAAGGTTCTCCTGTGTATTGACCGATAGATTAGTTGGTAAAGTGCACATGTATTTTGGAGGACCGGTGTCCACAGGTCCATCTTTATTCTAACCCGAGGTGTTCTATGGCCTATTCATATATGAATGAAAATTAATTGTCTTGGAGGCTTTGTATGCAGCAAGCCAGTGGGGGAACCATGTCTGCAGTCCTGGAACCCATTTACCATTTACACAAACGCCCAAGTTCCATCCCTAGGACAAAGAAATTATCTTCTTTCTACATCTAATGGGCACCTTACTAACACTTCCCAGAAGCAAGCATTTCAACTCAGTGGAAACAGATTTTTAGTGATTATAACCACTGATTAAATGGTTGTCAGGTTGCCTTTGTTCTCTATATTAACCATATAGTAAAAAGCATTTCATTACACTAGTTTACAAACATTAACTTGTCATTCTCTCTCTCTCTGTCTGTCTGTCTCTCTCTCTCTCTCTCTCTCTCTCTCTCTCTCTCTCTCTCTCTCACACACACACACACACACGTAGTGATATTTCATTTGTATTTTACTAAGTAAAGCTTGCCTGAAGATTGGAGAGTAAAACAGCTGGTCAGGCATACAAACCGGCAGTGGTGACATACACCTTTTATCCCAGTAGCCACACCAGTTTGTCATAGAAACCAAGTGGTACTGGTGCAAACCTTTAATCCCAGCACCAGAGAGGAATATAAGATGAGAAGAGACAGTTCTCAGACACAATCTCCTCCTGAGATTCCTGAAGGCATGATCACCATTTCAGACTGAGGTAGAGGTAAGAGCTAGTGACTGGTTGTTTTGCTTCTCTGACCTTCTGGTTGGACCCCAATATCTGTCTCTGGGTTTTTATTAATCATGCTACACACACACACACACACACACACACACACACACACTTACAGAGAGAGAGAAACCAGTTATAGTGGGGTTCATTTTAATCGCAGAACTGGGGAAGCAAGGAAGGCAAACACCAGAGGCTGGCTATTTGATACAACCTATTTGACAAGTTCTAAGCCAATGAAAGACGCTATCTCAAATAACAAGGTGGGTGTTGCCAGAGGAATGAGACTCCAGCTTGTCCTCTGATTTCCACCTGTACTCACACAAGGGTACCTGCACATCTTTGTGCACCAATACACACATGTGCACACACAACATGCCTACTCATAAAAACACATGCATCCAAACATGGGAAATGGAGCAATCACACTATGCAAATTGCAACTTGACTGCCACACAGGACCATACACATCAAAAGAGTTTCCTCTTCACCTGACTTGAAGCCTGGCTTCTTGGAATTCTGATCTTCACCTACTTGCAAGAAGAAACTGTCTCTGATAGAATAAGCGAAACTACTATGAATTCACGTATCACTCAAGTGTAAATGTGTTAATGTGCAAACTCTGCCAGTCGTGTGCGTAGTGGAAAGAGAATGGAAAGCCAGTAAAAAGTAGAAATGAGCCCCTAATGGTGGCATTTCAGGGAATAGGAGAGGACAGATGGGGAGATATTTCTGGACCAGGGAGCTTCTGGGTGCCCTTCACTTTGTACCACACCAGCCATTTCCTATTCCTGTGCAGAAGGTTGGCTCTGCTGCCACAACACTCTCAGGCTCTCCTGAGAACCGTGCTTCTATTTCTGTCTGTTATAAAAAGGTAGAGACGCCATTCCTTCTGGTTGTCAGGGATCAGGAATGAGCCTCCCTCATATAATAGAAAAAGCCAAGAACAGACAAAGAAATCATCTTCTTCCTACATCCAGTAGACACCATACTGTCACTTCCCAGAGGCAGACATTTTAACTCAATGGAAAGAGACTCCTAGTAATTATAACAACAGATCTACTGGTTAAATGTTGGCCAGGTACCTCATCTTTATTACCAATGCCAGCCATATAATACTTGCTTTTGTTGCTCCTGTTTTACAAACATTGACCAACAATGCTGGCAATTTTCACAGTCATTAGTGGTGACCAGAAAGTTATGATTCAAATCCTAAATATCTTCAGGAAGACATCTCTAATACGAAGAAAAAATATCTAATTATGGTTTCATGAAAACATGCAGCCAAGCCCAACTACTACAGGTCTTTCCATCCTATACATGACCTGACACCTACATTATGTTTACTTAAGCCTTTTTATTTCATAAAAGCATGGAAGACATAATTCCTGATGCCAAATTTTACAGGAACAATTAGTATAGAAAATATGAAAGACTGACCAATAATTTCAATATCTTTTCTGAAAAAGAAAATGCATCAACTACCTAAACTAGATAAAGGACACTTTCAGTCTATTTAGAGACATGTCTCTAAGGAAATTGTACAGTCCCTGACTTGAAGAGCTTGAGGCTGAAGCGATGTTAAGACCCCAATAATGTTAAAAGTCAGGCTCATATACAAGTTGTATTCAAACTGATGAAAGAAAGAAAGAAAGAAAGAAAGAAAGAAAGAAAGAAAGAAAGAAAGAAAGGAAGGAAGGAAGGAAGGAAGGAAGGACAGAAGAAAGGGTGGGGGAGGTCAGTGAAAGCAGCCATGTCTTCCAATAGCAATCAGACTACAGGATGTCACAGACAGAAAATAACTATTGTCTTCAATCATTACATCTGAGCAATTGTCTCCTAAACGCTGTTACAGCTACTGAGTCTGCCCCCTTCAGAAATTTCTAATCTTCTCTGCAATCTCATGGAAATGCGTTAGATTTTTTTCATGATTTCTTTTAAAGTACCACATCTGTCCACCAAGTCAGTTCCCCACAAGTGGCATGTGTTCAAATTCCTTATCTTTCCTGACAAGAAGCAGAGGTACAATGGCAGGGCAGTTGCTGACAGATCTCTCCCTGGCTCTGTAGATGCCTCTTGTGGGCTTATATTGAGAGGTTAGCATTAAAATAAATTCAACCTGTGTCCCTTGGCTCACACCCGGTCAACACTGGCTTCTGCAAGAGTGTGATCAGCTTGGTTAAATGGCTGATTTGGCTGATTTTTCTACAGCACCAACCTAATTGTGCAACTGTTTAGGCATCTGCAGACACCTCTCTGCAAAGACAAGGCAGGCTTCACATTAACTCACTCAAATATGTCTCCCTTTTCTCCAGATCTTCTGCAAACTTACCGAGCAGCTGCTGGTAAAAGTTAAAATCATGCCTTCTCTTCCCCTTTTCATCTTTCAAATGAGAACACAAATATATAGCCAACCAGGCAATCTCTGAAGACGCTAAATGGGGAAGCAAATAATAACTATATATTTAAAGACAAATCTGTAGCCTAGGAAAAATCAATATGAAACAGTGACTTAAAAAGATTTAAAGAAATGACTACCTCTTCAGTAGCATATTTGAGTCCTTCCAAACAATCAATTATTCATAAATATTAAATTACCATTTTCTATTTGCATGGCAATACATGCAAGCAACTCTTTAAAAGTTGCCAGGGATCTTTCAAACAAATCTCAGCAAATTATCTTCTTTCCTTGTTAGCTACTGCATCCAAACCAAAGCACCAATCTCATACAAGCCTGGTACTTTATTCAAATTTGTTTATTTGAGTACTAATAAAATATTTTTGGTATACCCTCTAAAATCCTACTAGCAAAATAATAAGATTCATAAAAATGTCCACAGAAATCAGAGCAGGTGTCGTTGGGACTAATCTGGGTCCGTTTCTCACTATGATTAACCAGCTCGTAATGACAACATTTCTTATCTTACAACTGTGGCATGAAGAGGGAGCTGTAGCTCTTCTGAGACACAATTCTGCACGCCCCAGCTTATCCACACTCTGCGATCTCGTCTCTCTCTCTCTCTCTCTCTCTCTCTCTCTCTCTCTCTCTCTCTCTCTCATTCCCTCTTCCATCTTTTTAAGCATTGTGCCAGTTCCATTTAAATGTATCTGCCGTGGATCTGGTCAAGTGGAGATAATCCATGCAAATCAGAAACTGTGGTTGTCAGTGTGTGGTTGCCGGAGAGGACTCAGCCTGAGGAGGTCACTCGTCCACAGCCGCTCCTCCCATTCTATCTCTCCCCTTATTGCAGAACTGCTGTATGTACACAGTGGCAGAAAGGACTCAATTGACTTCAACTGCTGCCTGGTTTTGCTTACAACTTTTTCTTATAAAGGAACTTACCTCCATCTGTCTTTTCAAGGTAGGAAGCCTGATTCTTCTAAAGATGCGTGTAATGCCTCTACTGTCTGCTCATTGTCAAATGTCACTAGGATGCTTTACATTGTTTCTGGCATTGGGCACAAACGCTGCGATTCCAGGTGCCTCGTGCTTTTGTTACTTAACCGTGTAGGCACGATTGTTTAAGTGCTGGGTATTTGAATGTTTATTTTCCACGTAGCCTGCTCCGGTTTTACAACGGCAGGAAGATTAGTGCCTACTCTCTAGCCTAGAAATACAATTTGCTATCAAGTTTTCCCTCTTAAAAAAAAATAATAACCTCTCTAGGTGTTTTAACTTCTCCTGCACCGTGGCCAATTACAGCCAAGTGCAAAATTTACCCGTGAGAAGGGGTTCGTGTATTGTTTGCCTGAAACTGGAGCCTTCTCACGACATTTTCCCTGAAAAAAAAAAAAAGAATTAACTGTTGAAATGTTTTTAACATCAGCAGGCAAACAGTAGCTCTTCATTCTGCTGCAGTGGCAACAAGCTGGAGGCCCTGTGGCTAACTGCCCTGTCAAATAGATTTGTTCTTCGCAGTTCACAAATTACTAGGCTATGCACAAGTAATGCAACTAGTTGGGATTCTGTTACCGTTGTTAGATGTGCAGTTAGGTATTGTTTTGAAATTATATTGTATTTTAGAAAAGTTTAATGTAAAGAGGTTCTTTAAACCCTGATGTATATACAGTGCCTCTGGAGATCATTATTTAACAATGATTTCAATAATCACATTGTTAAGTGTGGGTTAAAAATGTGTGGAAGGGACTAATAGATTGTACAATATCTGTGTTGTTTCTGAAAGCAATACCTCAGCTTGTACTACTGCGAATGTGTTTCCTTGAAGTGACTTGCAATATTTTAATCATTCCTTAGTCATTTTAACTTTAAATCACACTAAAATGTCATGAAATTAAATATTCAAAAATCCTTTTAATTAGTACAAATATAATTAGAACATTCCAGTTGCAGCCCAAATCTTAATAATGTCATCTGTCTTTAAAAGTACTCTTTGTTAATATGATTTTGCATCTTGACATATGGCTCTGACAAGGATATTTAATCCCTTGTATGAGATAGAACTGAACATAAACAGTAAGCAAAGTTGACAGTCCTAAAAAGAAGGGGAAAAAATGTTTTCTGGTATACGCAATCATTCTAATGTCATAAATCCCAGCTTCCATCGTCTAGGTAGATACTTGTAGTTAGTAGAGTTTGTGGGGGGGAATTTATTATCCACATAAAATATCCCAGTGTCAAAGCACTGCGTTTCTTTTTCTTTTTGGCATTGAATGTTCTACTGAACAGAGAAATGCACTCTGATTTTTGAGTATAGTAGTACAAGGCAGGAAGCCTTGTCATTGTTAGCATAAAGAAGCCGTCGACACGAGCATTGCTGCACAGAGGACTATCTCTATCTCTGGCGTGTGATAGGTTACTATATGCAGAATTTAAGGGACAAATATTTTCCGCTCCATGGCATTATTAGTCTTGTCAGTATGAAAGCTCCTCTGCAAGGATGGGGGGGGGTGATTTATAACAGTACGTAATAAAACCCTTCATGGTGAGAAAAGAGGAATTTAACTTATTACTTACCTAGTAATTAGTTTCTTTTAAAAGTCTTTGAAAGACTGAGTTGTAAAGTAAACTGAGGCTTGCCGGGACAAGCTAATTGGGTGTATCTGTTGGAGCCGTGTGGCTGCCCGTGAATACCTTCTGTGTCGTTGTCGACATGGGAGTATTCTACTGGAGCTTCTGTATTATGGGGAGGAAGGGGATTCCTCACTCCTGGTCAAGGGGGAATCTTCTACATCCAGAGGGATTTGGATAGGAGCCCCTGAATTGGAAACACTGAACAGAAAACAGACGAGAAGTCTGTGGGATAGCCCTGCTGGGTGAACTCAAGACTAGTGTGAAACTAAAGGGTACCCTTTCAGAACAAAGGAATACCACAGATACTCTGTCAGCAGCAAGAAGAGACAGAGAATGTGGCCAAGAGTCTCTTCTGGGGACTGAGAAAATGCTGGCAACTAGGCTTTCTCTGCATCCACATTACTGGATATGATAGGTCTGCAGGCACTCCCCCAGGAATGCCAAGCCATCATTTCACAGGGTTATTTCAAAAGCAGATATTTTTATAGGTGCTTGCATTTATTTGTAAACCTCAAGAAAGTCTCCAAAGACCCACCTCCTATGCCTTTAGTCAAGCCATACTGTGCATCTTAAATAAAACGGTTACAGCCTTCAACTCCACCTGGGTTCCCTTGCTTCATCGCTACACTTCCCATTCCTCTAGTAATTCATTCAAGCCACTGCTCAGGGTAAGTTCCATTTACTCCATTCCAGTGTGCCTTGCAGCAAAATGTAGAGCACCGATAAACCTCATGGCTGTATTTAATAGTGGGCTCTTATTCCCACCTGACTCTCTTCTGCTGCTTTCACTGAATACAGTTTAAAAGATAAATTATCATCTTAAAGGGCTACTATGAGGGGTGTTCATAGTTGTCCAGAACGTCAAGAGCATTCTGTGGGGCCCGAGAAGCTTGCAATCCTGCTCGAGGGAAAATAATCTGTAGGCATTCGATGTCTGCTTCATCTGCAGACATTCGGAGGTTCTCAGGAAGCTTTCTTATCATACTAAACATTTCCTAGACCTTGGAAGTTATTGCCGTGTGTGAATTGATGATGACATCTGGGCTACATTCATCAGATCCTTTTTGTTTTGTTTGCACAAATTTGAATCTTCATAGTAATGTCGTGAGGGCAAAGGGACCATCATACAAGTATTACAGATAAAGACATCGAAGTTCAGAGAAGTTAATGAACTTTGTCAAGGCCACAGCGTATGGCAGACATGAGACTTGAGCCTGCGTATTCTTTGAAATCACATATGACGATGCCTTCCTGGCTTATCTGTCAGGGTGCTCCCTTCCCTCTCTCAACAGCAAGCTTGTGTCATTTACGCTTCTGTTGTCTTGACACACCAGAGCTAGGTATCTTGTTCTGATTTTCAGCTTCTCCTTAGCTCTTCCTCTCCATCCACATTACTGTTATAGTACAGTTTTTAAGAGTTATTTCACTGAAGGCATGCCTGGAATGGTTACTCTAGTGGAGTGTAAGAACCAAATCAGATCTGTAATTGATTGGCTTGTCTATTCACAGTCTTTGAAGTGCCACCCCCTCCTCTCTTTTCCCTGTCTAAACACGAGACTGACAGCTTTTTATATGTCTGGAATATTAGTGGTGTTAAGTGCTGGGTAATGATGGAAAGGAACCTGAGGCTTTATCTAACTATCTGTCCTACTAACTCCACTGTAGTTCTGATAACAATGAAAACATTGATGCAGACGACTGTTCATGTAAGAAAGAGTACATTCTGCTGCCTGGTCAGACCATGCTTTAAAATCTCCTGTGTGGTCAGCAGCGGCTCTTTCTTTTACTTTTCTGTTTACTGGGAACATCTACATGGAAATTTCCCCAGGATAAAATATTACCAGCAGATTTACAAAATAGATGAAGAGAACAGATAACATGATAATGAATTTTTAAATGTGCTGAGTATGAACCTCTCCACACTGTTAACTATTCTTGTGTCGTTGCTGCTTTCTCCTATATGAGGGCAAAGAAAAGAACCTCTCCTTATAGGGAAGTGAGAGAGGCCTTCCTTCTATCTGCCTGTTTGTGGTAGCTTCAACCTTCCCCTATCTTCCTTGGTCCCAGTGTGGAAAGACGAACTATTATACTTGTCACCCATGGGAATCCAATTCAAACACTCTGATCATTTGACCTGTGGATATCATCCATATAATATAAACACACACCTACACAGGATCAACATCAACTAGTGGAAAAGACATAGAGATGATGCATCAGTAGCAAATATATTAGATACTCATTTATTGGGAGACAAATAAAAAACAATTTTGATACCATTGCATGACAGCAGTATTCTCTTCAATCCTATTAAGAATACCAGGCAGATGGACTGCCCTTCTGCATCCAAAATCTCTACCTGCTGGCACGCAGAAAGCCCAAGAACATATCTTTATGGCTATTTTAGTATGCCAGTTTTGTCCAGATCAGCCAAGGTAGATGTCAGCCGCTGGTATGGGAAAAGCTGGGAATTAATTTAAATTTGAGCTTATCCTGCCATCATCTCTTGCTGAGTGAGTTCCTTAGCCTATGAGGCATTCCATTCAGATTTGATTTCTCTAGTCAAATTACGTGGGTTGTATTTCCATCATGAAAGGAACAGTTGGGCAAAGAGACAGAGGCTGGTGGAAGATATATTAGTTAAGAACCACAACTGATTGCAACCACTGAAAGAAGGCACCCCTTGTTGCTCAGTTCTTCAGCCCCATTACTGAATTCTTTGCCTAAAACAATGTCAGCTTCTGGAAATTGAAAATAAAAGCAAAAGACATCCATCTCCAGGGAAGTTAGCAAAAATAATCAGACAACTTAATTCTCAAATGTGTTCATAGTCATTTGAAAGTGACACTTGCCATTACAGGGGAGCCGCAAGAAAGCAGAACTTGAGTAATTCACAGGGCTGACTGTTTTTCAAAGAAGAGTCACAATTTGCAATTGCATTCAACCAGCGCCATGCCTTTCTTGGTGCTGCAGTTGCTGTGCTGCAGTTGCTAGTGCTGCAGTTGCTGGTGCTGCAGTTGCTGGTGCTGCAGTTGCTGGTGCTGTTATTATTGCATGGTGGCTACTAATCTCCCCCAAGAAAAAATCAAGGGCCACTTCTGCAGCAGACTCTTCACTCCTGTTTGCTCACAGTGACTAAAGTTCGTGCTGTGAACCTCAACCTCTAATTTGGGGTGGGGGCATGGTGTTAAGAAAATATTTTCTCACTTGTAAGTTAAATGGATTCAGGAGGAAGATGGGACTGTGCTGTGTTCTTCACAGACCTGGTCCCCGTGCTAAGCCCAGGGCCTGTGTTTGATTAGTGTCGAGGCAATTCATAAGCTTACCTCT